GGCAACCAGATTATAATTAATGGTATGGTAATCTTCTCTGTGAATATTTTAATAGTAGAGGATGTATCATTTTAGATTAAGTGAATAAGAAACTATATAGTTGGTGGAGAATTGCCATTTATTTTGATTATCTTTCCGAAAGAATGTGCAGTAAATGACCTGTGAATTAAGGAAGACATTTTCTAAAATATGAAATTATAAATATTTTTTGCTATCAGCCAAACACAGATATAACTTTTGGAGGCATTTCCCACCTTTTTCATTTCATATTGGTGGTGATGAGGTGTTGATACCTTGACCACCGAGTTAGTTTTGATCTATTATATTTTAACTTACCTTTGCTTCTTTCTCCTCCCAAGCTTGTGGTGCAGATTTGTATGTTAAGGATTAGCCTTACTTGCCCCTATTCTTGTTGTTACCTTATTGTGATAATCACTGATGATCTCAGGGTCTGAAGAAGGAGATAACTGGTGTAGTAGAAGTCAGACTAAGACCCTGAGAGGTTGATTTGGGGGGGCAGGAAAGGGTTGTTTTTTCGTTTGTTATTATTTTTTTTTTTGTGGGGGGAGGCTATGCTAACACTGCCATCTATGATACCATTGTGTTTATATTTAGATTTAAATATTTTCCATTTAAGAATAAGAATAATATGGGGATAGAATTCAGTTAAAATTTAAGTGTTTCTACTTCAGCTAATTTCTTTCTTCTTAAAAATCATTAATTATGTTTTTTTAATCTCAGAAATATTTTCCAATTACTGACTTATCAAATTTGCATTTTGTTAAGCAATACGAGGATTCTCTCCACCACATAGAATCTGCAGTTTTGAAGAGGCAAAGGGTTTGGATAGGATCAATGAGAGAATGCCACCCCGGAAAGATGCTGTACAGCAAGATGGTTTCAATTCTCTGAACACCGCACATGCCACTGAGAACCACGGGACTGGCAACCATAGTGCCCAGTGACCCACGGCTTCCCAGGGACTCTCACATCTCGGGCTCCAAATGGACAGATCACCCGAGAAGCTGGAGGGGTTGGCCAAGCTGACTGTAAATGTCACAGTCCCTCTGAAGAAACCATTGTGCTTTTGAAACCCCAGCCCCCTTCTTGGATGGAGGCTTGAGGGCCCTGGGACATGTTGTGCTGTCTGATAAGATTGGGTCATCGCTGCCAAGGTGGAGAGCAGTGAGCAAGGGGCTTGGGGCAATTTCCAGTGGAGGGCATCTACACCTCCATTTATGCTTGTGGTTCACACATTAAGTTTACAAATGAGATCCCCCCTCCCCCAGTAGAATTAGATTTTGTTTTTGAACCATGACTTCAAATGCAATCCTAAGAGCAAATGTGGACTTTTCTTTTTCCATGAAATATCTTTAAAGGATGAATTAGCATGGTCTTAAATTCCTTTCTGAGGTTACTAGCTGTATTTTGAATTGTGGGCAAAATACTGAGAAACCCAGCATTACAAATTGCTGACCTCAGGTCTATAGTTCTTAAATGTTGCTAATTCTGTAACATAGTCTTGGTATTTTTCAATTATGAATGCATAACCTATAACTAGGCAGTCTCTCTTATTTGAACACAAATTCAAAAATTAATTTAGAATTTTTTTGACCAGATCTTTATACCCCAGAGATTTAAGAAGAAAACATCTAAATTTCAAAATTATGAAGAATTACAGAATTACTCATTTAAGATACTTTAAAAGAGGTTTGTACATTGTCAAAGTAAATTTTAATTCAAATCATGTCTGTAAAACTTGACATATTTTGTGTATGCATGTTTTCATTTTGCAAATATTTAATATATAGACCTATGATGTACAGGTACGACATGTATAGGTTACCTAGATGTTATGAGAAATTTTAGTTTATTGTGAGTATTCAAGTTGCTTAAATAGCCACCAGGTGATTTGCTGCTGGCTTTCTATCATTTATATGTTTTAATGCAAAGGAAATTTTAAAATGTTCTGGAAGTGTTTTTGATTAAGCAATGCAACCTAGAAGCAATGGCTCTGTTCAATCATTCAGATGTTAGTGGAAGCATAAAAGTCAAGACTGCATGTTGAAAATTTTCTTTTGATAGTTACTGATCTGCTTGGTTAAACTAAATGGAACCATGTGCTAATTTTTCACAGTTATTGACCTGTATTGATTGCCACTGTAGTTTGGTATTTCCCTTTACTTTGGTGGCCTGCGTCCCTCATGCCCTGGAATACAACTCAGAGCTCCAGGCAGCGGAACCATCTATTGTTTTGTTTGCCAGAAAGTGCACCCTGTATGGTCTCCTGTCTAAGTTGGAAATATTATGCATGTGCAGGACTATTCAAGTATTTTATAAACAGTAGCACACAATAAATTCCATGCATGGGCCGCTGCTCCTATCTCTGTGTTGGGTTTTATTTAGAAGATACAGTCTGATTTGGCTTTTTGATGCAAATCAGAAAATCCTGTTAATAGAGCTGGGACATCCTTCAAAGAAGATTATCTTGTGGAGCGTTTGTGGTGATTTGATGAATTAAGTTCTTGTCTTTATAAAATCTGCCTTTTAAAAAGAACTTTTATTATATTTGTTTTACATGAGCATTAGAGGACTGAGCACTAAAGGACTTTGGATGCCTAGTATAAGCCTCCTAAATCTAATATTTAAGATCACTGTTTTTATTGTCTTTTAATTAAAAGAAAATACGTCATTATTTAGAATTTTATTGCAGTAGTATTGGGGATTTATTGGTGTTTTAACAATAAGAAGAAAAATATCAGTGATATTGCATTTTCCGACTATCATAGTCCTCTCTTTGCTATAATCAAAATAAGTATAGGATTTTGCAGTGAGGGAAATTAGGATATTGTTCAAGATTTTATAATAATTATAGAATAATTTTAATTATAGTTCTCAATAATTATAAGGTATATGATAAAGTAGTTATTTAAATCAATGTGTATATACTTGCCTAATTCTAAGTTAAGTAACAAACAGAACTTCTGAACTTGTTAATTATTATAGCTTCTACTTGCTGTAATATTAATTTGCATATTAGTCCATGAGTGGCCTCTAAAGTTATTACACATTGCATACCTTAAAATTCTTATTGATGTTATTATTTTAAGAAGGCTATTCATCTCTAAGAGTTTAACTAGTATATCAGGTGCTAGGAACTTCCTTAGCCCTTACTTTCATCACTGGGATTATGTAGTATTTTCAGGAATCATGGGTTGACATAAAGTACTAATAGCAAACTAGAGGAATTAAGGGTTGATGGTAAAAATTAAGAAGAGGAAAATAAGAGAAAGGAACAGAACTTTAAAAACGTGGTATACATGAACAGTGTATGGCTGGGCACGGTGGCTCATGCCTGTAATCCTAGCACTCTGGGAGGCCGAAGCAGGTGGATTGTTTGCACTTATGAGTTTGAGACTAACCTGAGCAAGAGTGCGACCCATCTCTATTAAAAATGAAAAACTGAGGCAAGAGGATCTCTTAAACCCAAGAATTTGAGGTTGCTGTGAGCTATATGACACTATGGCACTCTACCAAGGGCAACAAAGTGAGATTCTGCCTCAAAAAATAAAAAGTATATGCTACTTTTTTTTTTTTTATCACCCAGTGCCTCACAGACAACTTCCTACCTTTTGAATAGGAACCTCTTTCTAGTCTTTTTTGTTAATCAGTTTTACAGCAAACCATTGGTTAACATTTTTAAAATATAACTCATGATGAATGCAAATCATGTATCCCTTTTTCTAAATTATAATTTTAAATATATGTCAGAGTAAGGAGTAGTGATGGTAAAATGTAAATTAATATCCAACATCAAGTTTTTTGTATATATCATTACTCTTTATACACATATTCAAAGATGATACTTTTGAATTAGGAAAGTCAATCTCTGACTCATTGTACCCTATTCGGTTCAGCCATTATTAACAGAACTCAAGCAAAACCTTTGAGGTTCTCAGTTAAATTTGAAGTTCTGGGCTTGGCGCCTATAGCTCAACCAGCTAAGGCGCCAGCCACATACACCTAAGGTGGCGGGTTCGAATCCCCAGCCCGACCCGCCAAACAACAATGACGGCTGCAACCAAAAAAAATAGCCGGGCGTTGTGGCGGGCACCTGTGGTCCCAGCTACTTGGGAGGCAGAGGCAGGAGACTCGCTTGAGCCCAGGAGTTGGAGGTTGCTGTGAGCTGTAATGCCACGGCACTCTGCCCAGGGGGACAGCTTGAGGCTCTGTCTGAAAAAAAAAAAAAAAATTTGAAGTTCTGAGATTTTTGCTCAAAAGTAATCACACCTATTTTATCCAGGATTTTTTACTACTATTGCAACTGATTTTCTTCTGTCCACAGCTATTCTACATAATGTTATATAATGTTTTGTTAAATCCTTACCACTTTACTTCCACCTTCCCTGCTTGTAGTTTGTTCTTTCTACACTTCGGGGTTCTTATGTGGTTTTGGTTTACCACATTCCAGGACCTCACTGCAAGTGATTCTGTTCCCCAATTTGAGGATTTTCACAGAGGCAGGTAAGTGACAAGTGGGGCCAGATGTAAGGAGAAAACCAGATCTTGTAGTCATGTAAGATCACTACACTATCCACTTCTGATATTTTCTAAAGCTTGATAGCTTTAAGTGAACCTTTGTCACTCTAGGAATGTGGAATTGAATTCCCTGGATCATCGGTTCCAAAAAGGAATGAAAGGATGGTTGAGTCGATTCTTTTCTATTTTCTGTTCCTAGAAATAGTATACATTTTTAGTCATTAACTAAAATTTCGATCTTGCTTACTTTAATATTCCAGAAGCATTTGTACCTCTTGTGAAATAAAATACTAGATTATCCTTGATGATATTCTCACTGACAGAGTACCTTGCTGTCCTTTCAGAGAAAGTGAATTTTACAAGTTAATTCTGCATGTTTTCCCTGTATTTGATTTCCGTCAGTCCCCTTATGACCATTTATTTTCTCTTTTCTTGGGTATTATATTTGTACTTAAGCCTAGGTTGGACATTGTGGAGTTCTGTTTGAATAGTTGCTGTGCTAAAAAGGCTTGGGGTGAACTCATCCTGGGTATAGACTGAAATACAGGACTCTAGGGGTTCCTGTTCTCTAGGCTGATATCTACCCTTTCCAACCACATAATTGACTTCTGTACTAAGCTCCCAAAGTTTTTTTTCTGAAGCTGTAAACTGAGAACAGAAATGTTACCTTGGGTGAGAGAGGTCTAGGAAGCAGTAGGTTTCATCTTCTCTCAGTCGTCCTGGCCTTTAAGTGAGTTTGGGAGTGTTGATAGCATCCTGAGCCTGCTTGGCAAAGAATAGAGGTTAGAAAGAGAGAAGTCCCCAGGCAAGGGGCCAGGTCCCTACTTGCCTCACTACGGAGAATTCAGCCCTATCTATTCGGTTGGCAGGGCACACTTAATCACTGAGATCCAGCATTTCAGCAGTTTGCAGAGGAAAGTGATATATGAAGGGACAGCTGCAAGTAAACCACAACCTACACCTGAAGAGATCAAGCGCTACTTCACTTGGAGGAAAGAGAAGGAAGGAAGCCCAGGGCTTAGCAGGGTAAGTTTTTCCCCATCAACCTGTCTGCTTGCTTAGTTTATAATTGAGTAAAGTATTTATCACCCCAGGGAGTGTTAATCACTCATTGAGCAGCTGACTGTGGTCTTAATTGCAGTGTTTTTAATGTATTTCTCCTTTTCTCTACTCCTTTTTTGAGGATCCCCAGTGACCAGTTTCACTGTGCTTTCTTCCTACCTCCCTAAAGACATTTTGTGTTTGCTGGTGAATTGGAGAAAATTAGATGGGCCCTCCTGGTCTGGAAACAATGAGATGACTTGTGGTTTAGGTGAAGCTTGTGACTTTCAGTGGTCCGGAGGAAGACGAGAGACCTAGGTCTGGGAATAGGTTAATATTTTGGTTTGTAATTTGGAAATGAGGGATAAGAATTTTTCAATGCAGTCAAGTTGATGTTTCCCCTTCAGTTCCTGGTGTTGGTATTCTCTCATCTACTGGGAATGAATTAGAGATCAAGTCACTAGAGATGGTTAGAAAAAAGTGATTCCCTTTCTGTATTGGGTAGACTCTGAACTCTGGAAAGTTCCGAGAACTTACTGCAATTCTTTCCAATTTCTTCCTTGTGACCCCTGTTTTGCTTTTTTTTTTTTTCCTTCATTTCTCTCAGTTTACACTCTTTGACCTGGAGCTCTTTGTAGGAAAGTTAGAATCAGGGAACTGACATCTAAGCCCAGAAGATACAAACTCAGACATGAGCCTTATAGGATATGTAGCTCATGCAAAGACCTGGCTTCTCATTCCTACCTTCTTACCTTCTTGCCAGAAAGCTGCCTCATTTATATGTAGAACATTGTGTTCTAGAGGAAAGGAAACTATGACATTAGGGATTTTACCACCATCATTCCTGCTTTCTAAGCTGTATAATTCTTTTGACTTCTCGCCAGTTCAGCCAATCACCTGTTTAGCAGGAGGTAATCTTCCCTTGGAGAAAGACCTCTCCTTGGAAATGCAGATACACAAGGCAATACCTTTCTGACCTTAATTGGCTTGCATTGCAGCCACAAGGTTTATGGTTTAACTTCAGGGAGATATCTATCATAAAGTCTAGGGTTTTAGACCATAGAGTTGTCTCAAATCAAAGATACTTTTCCTCCATACCTGTAGAAGGAAAAAGAAGTCTGTTCTCTCATAGTGTTACCTTGCCTGAGGTGGGTGGGTAGAGTAAATGGGTTTTTTAGAATGGCAGTGATTCTGGAAATGCAATGAGAATATGTGTTGATTAAAAGTGGAGGGCGCCTTTGCCTCTGTAGTTCCAGCTGCTCGAGAGGCTGAGGCAAGAGGATGGCTTGAGCCCAGGAATTTGAGGTTGCAGTGAGCTATGGTGATACCACTGCATTCAACTCAGGATAACAGAGTGATACTCTGTCTCTGAGTGAACAAATGAATGAAGGGCAAGCCATTCCTAGTGGCTCATGCCTATATTTTAGTACTCTGGGAGGCCAAGGTGGGAAGATTGCTTGAGGCCAAGAGTTTAAGACCTGAGCAAGAGCAAGACAAAGACTGTGTCTCTACAAAAAAATAGAAAAAATTAGCCTGATGTGGTGGCACTTACCTGTAGTCCCAGAGACTTGAGAGACTGAGGTAGGAGAATTTTTTGAGCTTGGGAATGGAAGATTGCAGTAAGCTGTGATGAGGCCACTGTACTCTAGCCTAGGTGACAGAGCAACGAGACTTTAGTCTCAAAAAAAAAAAAAAAGAAAAGAAAAGAAAAGGAGGGCACAGTGAAATCAGTTACTAGAACTGAGGTCATAAAATGTGAACAGCAATTCTATTCACACTTTAGTAAAGGGATGTGACCTTTAAACCTTAACATAATCTAATATTGTTAGGCCCAATTTCTTCATCATGGTAAAATAGAGGATATGGTATACAGATGAACTTAGCTACCTCTGTTCTGTGGACTCTGAAGCCATCTATCCACCCATTGGATGAGGAGAAAAAAGAGTGGATGGAAATGTAAGGGTAAAGAGAAAGAAAGTACAAAAGAAAATTCTTTCCTCCATTAATCTGAGGATACAGGTTTATTAAGAGTCATGTTGTAAGATGGAGATATGAGTTAGGTGATTCTGGGGTGTTTTTGTTTATTTTTGTCATCTCAGCTGTATGGTGATTCTGGAGTTTTTCCCCTAACATATGGTCTAGAAGGATGAAATGTCAGACCATTTTTGTAACAAAACATGATCCCTAGTTTGAACTTTAGTGGTTACCTCATTCACAGTAAAACTGACCACTGCCAGTATTTTTATTATCTATCATTTATCTGTCCCTGGAGGCAGTTAATCTGGGAACTAATAACTTTTTAGCCTTTCAGTCTGTACAGATACCTATTTTCTTTCTTTTTAAATTTAGTTAAAAATTCACATAAGAAGAAATTAAAGTGAGCAATTATATGGCATTTAGTATATTCACATTATTGTGCAATTGCAGTCTCCGTTTAGTTCCAAAACATTTTCATTACCTCTAACAGTTAAGCTATTACTCCTCATTTTCCCTCCTACACAGCCTCTAGCAACTGCCAATCTGCTTTCTGTCTCTGAATTTACCTATCCTGGATATCTCATATAAATGGCATCATACAACATGTAACCTTTCGTTTCTTTCACTTAGCTATAATGTTTTGGGATTCATCTACATTGTAGCATGTATCAATATTTCCTTTTCTTTTTAAAATAGGATCTTACTCTGTTGCTTAGGCTGGAGTGCAGTGGTGTGATCATACCTCACTGTAACCTCAAACTCATGGGCTAAAGTGGTCTTCATCCTCAGCCTCCTGAGTTGCTAGGACTCCAGGCAAAAGTTACCATACCCAGCTAATTTTTCAACATTATTCTATAGAGACAGGGCCTTGCTATGTTGTCAAGGGTGCTCTCAAGCTTCTGGCCTCAAGCAGTCCTCCCACCTCAGTCTCCTAAAGTGCTGGGACTATAGACATGTGCCACTGCGCACCAGTCTCAATTCTTTTTATGGCTGAATAATATTTATTTATCCCAATTCATTTATCCATTCATTGGTGGATCTTTGGCAATTATGAATAGTGCCACTATGAACATTTGTGTGTAAACATTTGTTTACTTGTTTTTAGTGATTACTATTTTCTTTTTTTTTTGAGACAGAGCCTCAAGCTGTCCCCCTGGGTAGAGTGCCATGGCATCACAGCTCACAGCAACCTCCAACTTCTGGACTTAAACTATTTTCTTTTTTTTTTGAGACAGAGCCTCAAGCTGTCCCCCTGGGTAGAGTGCCATGGCATCACAGCTCACAGCCACCTCCAACTTCTGGACTTAAACAAGTCTCCTGCCTCCACCTCCCAAGTAGCTGGACCACAGGTGCCTGCCACAACGCCTGGCTATTTTTTCGTTGTACCATCATTGTTATTTGGTGGCCCAGGCTGGATTCAAACCCACCATCTTAGGTGTATGTGGCTAGCGCCTTAGCCACTTAAGCCACAGGCACCAAGCCAGTTATTACTATTTTCTGTAGTCCTTGCATCATTTTACATTCCCTGGGTGTGCATGAGGGTTCTAGTTATTCAATTTCTACACATCCTCATCAGCACTTGTCTTCTGGGGGATTTTGTTTTGTTTTTGAGACAGACTCTTCCTTTTTTGCCTGGGCTAGAATGCCATAGCCTCAAGCAATCCTCCTGTCTCAGCCTCCCAAGTAGCTGGGACTACAGGCATGTACCATCATGCCCAGCCAGTTTTCTCCTCTTGCTCAGGCTGGGCTCAATTCCAAGCTCAAGCAATCCTCTCACCTTGGCTTACCAGAGTGCTGGGATTGCAGGTGTAAGCCACACCAATGGCCTGTTTTCTGGTTGTTTGATAATAGCCATCTTACTGAACATGAAGTGGTATCTCATTGTGGTTTTGATTGGCATTTTTCTAATGATTAGTGAGCAGATTTCTCTAATGATTAATGAGCATATTTTCTTGTTTATTGTCCATTTGCATATATTCTTTTAGAAAATTCTATTTATTTATTTATTTTTTGGCGGGGGGAGGGCAGAGTCTCAAGCTGTCACCCTGGGTAGCGGGCTCTGTCATCATAGCTCACAGCAACCCCTGATTCTTGGGCTGAAGTGATCCTCATGCCTCAATTTTTCTATTTTTAGTAGAGATGGGGTCTCATGCTTTTGCTCAGGCTGGTCTTGAACTCGTAAGCTCAAGAGTCGTAGACTTACTCGCTTAAGGCCTCCCAAAGTGGGCTAGGATTATAGGTGTGAGCCATCACGGCTGGCCTCAAATAGATTTTAGTTATCTAGGTTTTTTTTGTTGCTGAATTGTCTTCTGGTTAATAAGCCCTTATCAGATATATGATTTGCAAATATTTTCTCCCATTCTATGGGTTGTCATTTGACTCTGTTGGTAATGTCCTTTGATGCCAAAAGGTTTTTTTCTTTTTGTTTCTTGAGACAGAGTCCCAAGCTATGACCCTGGGTAGAGTGCTGTGGCATCACAGCTCACAGCAACCTCCAACTCCTGGGCTTAAGCGATTTTCTTGCCTCAGCCTCCCAAGTAGCTGGGACTACAGGTGCCCGCCACAACGCTTGGCTATTTTTTGGTTATAGTTATCATTATTGTCTGGCGGGCCCGGGCTGGATTCGAACCCGCCAGCTCTGGTGTATGTGGCTGGCGCCTTAGCCCCTTGAGCTACAGGCACTGAGCCAAAAGTTTTTAATTTTGATGGAGTCCAGTTTATCTATGTTATTGTTGTGCTTTTGTTGTCCTATCTAACAAATCATTGCCAAATCTATGTCATGAAGCTTTTTCCCTGTTATCTTAACATTTTTATAGTTTTAGCTCTTTAATTTAGATTTTTATATTTAGTATTCAAACTCAAGTCATTCTGATTCTTAATTTCTAGAGTATCCTTATCTACATTTCTGTTCTCATTCTCTTCTTTTTGCTTGGAATTCCTTTTTCCATGTATTCAAAGTATTGTCATCTTTCAAGGTCTATTTCAACTGCTACCTACTTCATAAAGTCTTCCTATAGCATACCCACTAAAGAGAATCTCATGTGAGCTTCTTTTAGTGCTTACGTTTCACTTTGCTTGTAGGATTTATGTAGTACCTTTTATTATAGTTTATATCTAATCTCCCTTAAGACATTTAGATGAGATGTATTTTTCATATTTTTTCTGTATAGTATTCTGCAAATTGTTTCATCTTTATCAGTAGGTATATATTGAATAAATGGATGTCTTAATATTTCTTAATATGGTCCCTTTTTTCTACTCCGCCCTTTTGGAAAGTATGGGAGAAGATGAGATAAGGAAAGAGGATATCACAAAGTCTCAGCAAGGTGGTACTTGGGTGTAGGTTTACTTGTACTTCAAAAGTCACCACTTTAGGAAATTTTCCTTGTCATTTGTCTGACTTGCTTTGACTACTTAAGTCTTAGCATGGTGGTATATATTTTATTTTACATTTACTTGATAGTTTATTGCTTGTACATGTGTCTTTTAAAAGGAATGTTTTATCTTACCAACTAGATTAGATTGGTTAATTCTCCAAATAGATGGTAGTTTTGGACAGCCAAAACTTTTGTTGCATATTCCTTTTTTAAGTTGATTTTGAAAATACACTAAATATATATGAATTTATATATAAATATATATGATTTTTTTATAAAAATCGCAGACATTACAGATAAGTCTAAAGTCTACCTTGATCAACCCAGTTTCTGTCCTACTGTCTTTGTACTCTACCCAGGGTTAATCACTGTTACCAGTTTTCCATGAGATCTGTCAGATTTTTTTTATGCATTTATTTACATATCACTGTGTTGTATGTAGAATTTCATATGTAACATATATGTATAGGCTCGGCGCCTATGGCTCAAGCGGCTAAGGCGCCAGCCACATACACCTGAGCTGGCAGGTTCGAATCCAGCCTGGATCCACCAAACAACATTGATGGCTGCAACCAAAAAATATCTGGGTGTTGTGGCAGATGCCTGTAGTCCCAGCTACTTGGGAGGTGGAGGCAGGAGAATTGCTTGAGCCCAGGAGTTGGAGGTTGCTGTGAGCTGTGATGCCATGGCACTCTACCCAGGGGGACAGCTTGAGGCTCTGTCTCAAAAAAACAAAACAAAACAGATATATGTATAAATTATATTCATATATAACTATTTGCCCTCTTTTTCACAATTGACTTTAGTGGTCAATAATTAGTAAATACTAATTCTTACTGATAACCAGGGTCTGAGGGACCAGAGTGAGAAGTCAAGCATGTGAAAATATATAATGTGTCTAGCTTATAAAAGTCCCTTCCATATCTGTTCTGCAGATAGTCTCCAGATATCATAGGAAAGGCCATGGCTCCACGGTCCCGGCGACGAAGACACAAGAAACTCATCTCATCTGTGGCTTCCATGGTGGTGACACCACCCCCAGTTGTGACCCCTATGCCTCTGACACCCTCAGAACCTGGCCCTAGTATTGATGCACTTGGGTTCTTATCCTTGGAGAATAATGTTCCTGGCCTATCCCAGCTGATCCTTCAAAAACTGAACATGAAAAGCTATGAAGAATACAAGTGAGTGACCAGTTTTACAGAAGAGGGATATATATATATATATATATTGTTTCTGATAGAAGTGATTTCAGAAAGTAGAGAGGTAATATAATTTGGGCTATATGGGATATTTGCAATGGGGGATTTTTGCATCCTGACATTTGCCAATTTTATTACTATAGAAGAAATATAGAGGGGGCCAAAAAAAAAAAATACATTTTGAGAAAGGAAAAAACAGACTTGGCGCCCATAGCACAGTGGTTACAGCGCCGGCCACATATATCAAGGGTGGCGGATTCGAACTCAGCCCAGGCCAGCTAATCAACTTCAACAACAAAAAAAGTAGCCAGGTGTTGGGGTGGGCACCAGTAGTCTCAGATACTTGGGAGGCTGAGGCAAGAGAATCACTTAAGCCCAAGAGTTTGAGTTTGCTATGAGCTGTGACACTATGGCACTCTACCAAGGGTGACATAGTGGGACTCTGTCTCCAAAAAGAAAGGAAGGAAAAAAACTGCATTAAAATTGTAATACTCAACTGGGCACAGTGACTCATGTCTCTAATCCTAGCACTCTAGGAGGCCAAAGTGGGAGGATAACTTGAGGTCAAGAGTTTGAGACTAGCCTAAGCAAGAGCAACACCCCGTTTCTACAAAAAATAGAAAAATTAGCTGGACATTGTGTCAGGTGCCTATACTTCTACTACATGGAGGTTGAGGCAGGAGGAGCACTTGAACCCAGGAGTTTGAGATTGCTGTGAGAGGTAGGCTAATGCCAAACCACTTTAGCCTGGGCAACAGAGTGAGACTCTGTCTCCAAAAAAAACAAAAAAGAAAAATATTGTAATACTCTCTATATACCGATAACAAAAGAAATCAAGTATGACTTGAGTATTATAAATTTATTACAGTTTTTTCCTTTCTTAAAATATGTATGCATTTTTTTTTTTGGTACCCTCTATATAATTTGGTTAAGTGAGAAATGATGTCAATAAGAGATGTAGGAGTTGGTGGAAATGTATAGAAGACAAGTTAGAGGACATTAGAGACTTTGGAAATATCCTTTGTTTATTGCTTGTCCTTCTCCATGTTGCTCTGCAGGCTGGTGGTAGATGGGGGTATCCCAGGATCAGGCTTTGGATTTCGATGTCCTCAAGAAATGTTCCAGAAGATGGAGGACACATTCCGATTCTGTGCTCACTGTAGAGCACTCCCTAGTGGTCTTTCAGACTCTAAGGTCCTCCGGCACTGTAAAAGGTGACTTGTGGGGGACTAATGGGTAGACATTCAGAAATGAGCCTGTACTAAGAGCTCATTCCAAAAGGAAAGGTTAAAAGTTTTCCTCTTTTTGTATCATCCAGACATCAGCAGAGTTATAATCCTGCTTATTTTTGATATTATGGAAAAGTGAGACAGGAGGCCACAATACTGTGTTCTCTCTCTCCAATTTTTTGAGTACTGAATTAGTAAGACTAATTCTGTTCTGAGGAGATTGGGATTGAGCCATATCTATGATGAAAGGGCAGCTATAAACTCCTGGTGTGTTTGGGTTTTTTTTTTTTTAAGAGATATAAAAAGTGAGATGTTACAGATAGAGACTGTGGTGTCACTTTGGGAGAGTAATTACATTCCCAACCCCTTCGCCCTCTTTTGCCAAAGATAGTCCCCAAATTTGTTGTATCAACTATCATTCTTTTTCCTACTTTCCTGACCCATTCACTGATCTTTCTTTCTAAGTATAAGAATATTAATTCCCTTCCCAAGACACCCCCAGTCAGCTTTTATGTATACAACCCCTATTCTTATGACTCATTCTCTCAGATGCAGAAATGTCTATTACTGTGGTCCAGAATGCCAGAAGTCAGACTGGCCAGCACACAGGAGGGTTTGTCAAGAGCTTCGTCTTGTGGCTGTGGACCGTCTTATGGAATGGCTTCTGATCACAGGTGGAGTGGTAGTACTGGGAAACTTTGCTATAATGGTCATGGTTGGTTGTACTTAAAGGAAGATATGAAAGCATATTGTTATGAAAAACTGAGGAACCTCCTAGTCACTGGTTGGCAGAGTGAACATAAAAGAAATATTGAACTTTGTGAGAAGGGAATTTCAAAGCCAGGAAAGGATTAGGTTACTTTTCCCCTTTAATAGATGTAGGAGGTACAAGTGTTTTGTTACGTGGATGAATTATATAATGATGAAGTCAGAGCTTTCAGTGTACCCATGACCAGAATAGTTTGCATTGTGCTTGATACATTGATTTTAATCCTTTATTCCCCTCTCTTATTCCCCCGTCCTTAGTTTCAATGTCTGTTATATCACTTTATGACCATATACCACATTTACCCCTCGTTTAGCTCCCATTTGTAAGAGAGAACCTGTATTTGTTTTGCTATTCCTGAGATACTTCACTTAGAATAATGGTCTCCAGTTTTGTCCAAATTTCTGCAAAAGACATTATTTCATTCCTTTTCTTTCTTTTTTTTTTTTTGAGATGGAGCCTCAAGCTATCCCCCTGGGCAGAGTGCCGTGGCATCACGCTCACAGCAACCTCCAACTCCTGGGCTCAAGCGAGTCTCCTGCCTCAGCCTCCCAAGCAGCTGGGACCACAGGCGCCCGCCACAACGCCCGGCCATCCTTTGGTTGCAGCCATCATTGTTGTTTGGTGGGCCTGGGCTGGGGATTTGAACCCGCCACCTTAGGTGTATGTGGCTGGCGCCCTAGCCGCCCGAGCCACAGGCGCCGAGCCATTTCATTCCTTTTTATGGCTGAGTAGTACCCCATGGTATATGTGTGTGTGTATATATTCACATATATATATAAATTTTCTTTATCCACTCATTAGTTGATACTTAGGTTAATTCTGTATCTTTGCGATTGTGAATTTTACTATAATAAGCATTAGGGTGCAGGTGTCTTTTTTATAAAATGACTTCTTTTCCTTAGATACCCATTAGAGGGATTGCTAGATCAAATGGCAGATCTATTTTGAGTTCTTTGAGCAATCTTCATATTGTTTTCATAGAGCTTATACTAGTTTACATTCCCACCAACAATGTATAAGCATTTCCTTTTTACTGTATCCACACCAACATCTATTTTTTTACTTTTTAATAATAGCCATTCTGACAGATAAGGTGGTATCTCGTTGTGGTTTTAATTTGCATTTCCCTGATGATTAGGATTAGGTTACTTCTTATTCCTTCTTTTCCTGCAGGTGATTTTGTTCTACCCTCGGGACCTTGGCCATGGCCAGCTGAAGTTGTACAAGACTGGGAAAACTGGTTTTCTATGAAAGGATTACAGTTAGATGCTGCAATAGATGCTGCGCTAGGTAGTCATGCCATGACCACCTTATGGGCCAGTATAAGACGCCCAAGGCCAGACCCAGATACTCTGCAGGGGTCTTTGAAGCGGCTGCTGACAGATGCCCTGTCAAGGCCCTTGACAATGGGCCTAGGACTAAGGGCCTTCAGGATAGATGTTGGGAAGACTGGGGGAAGCACAGTGCATGTGATTGGTGCTTCTCATGTGGAGACATTTCTTGCTCGCCCTGGGGACTATGATGAGCTTGGCTACATGTTTCCTGGACACCTTGGACTCCGTGTGATCATGGTGGGAGTAGACGTGGCTACTGGCTTTTCACAAAGTACCTCAACTTCACCCCTGGAACCTGGCACAGTTCAGCTTAGTGGCCACAAGGGCCTCTATCATGACTTCTGGGAGGAGCAGATAGAGACTGGTCAGATAGCCCGTCCAGATTTGGCAGTGGCATTCCATCCAGGTAAGAGTTATCAGTTCAAAGAAATACTGGTGGTTTCCTCTGAGAATTTTCTATCCTGAATCTTGTATCTTCTGTCTTTGGAACCCTATTCATTTGGTCTTATTAAACACAATGTGATGACAATCTTGGTTGATAATTTGCCATATATACTATATCTGGTTTCAGAATTTTATAGTGAAGGCTGGACACAGTGGTTCATACCTATAATCCCCGCACTTTGGGAAGCCAAGGCAGGAGGATCACTTAAGATCAGGACTTCAAGGCTCGGTGCCTATAGCTCAACCGGCTAAGGCGCCAGCCACGTACACCTAAGGTGGTGGGTTCGAATCCCCAGCCCGGACCCGCCAAACAACAATGACGGCTGCAACCAAAAAATAGCCGGGCGTTGTGGCGGATGCCTGTGGTCCCAGCTACTTGGGAGGCGGAGGCAAGAGACTAGCTTGAGCCCAGGAGTTAGAGGTTGCTGTGAGCTGTAATGCCACGGCACTCTACCCAGGGGGACAGCTTGAGGCTCTGTCTCAAAAAAAAAAATCAGGACTCCAAGATCAGCCTGGGCAACATAGTGAGATCCTGTCTTTACTCTCTACAAAGATAATTTAGCTGGGCATGCTGGCATATACTTGTAGTCCTAGCTATTTGAGAGGCTGAGGAAGGGGGAGCCCAGGAGGTTACAATGAACTGGATCATGCCACAGTACGTCAGCCTAGGCAATAGAGCAGAAACATGTCTTTCTTTCTCTTTCTTTCTTTTTTTTTTTTTTTTTAGACAGTCTCACTCTGTCACACTGGGTAGAGTGCTGTGGTGTCATCATAGCTCACAGCAACCTTAACCTTTTAGGCTCAGGCAATCCTCTTGTCCTCAGCCTCCCAAGTAGCTGGGACTACAGGTGCCTGCCATTATGCCTGGCCAGTTTTTCTATTTTTATTTATTTATTTATTTATGTATTTATTTATTTATTGTTTGAGACAGAGTCTTACTATGTTGCCCTTAGTAGAGTGCTGTGGTGTCACAGCTCACAGCAACCTCAAACTCTTGGTTTTAAGTGATTCTCTTGCCTCAGCCTCCCAAGTAGCTGGGACTACAGATGCCCACCTGGCTATTTTCTTATTGCAGTTGTTGTTGTTTAGCTGGCCTGGGCCAGGCTTGAACCCACCAGCCTCTGCATGTGGCTGGCACTGTAACCACTGTGTTACAGGTGCCAAGCCAGTTTTTCTATTTATAGTAGAGATGGCATCTCACTCTTGCTCAGGCTGGTCTTGAACTCCTGAGCTCAAATGATCTACCTGCCTTGGCCTCCCAGAGTGCTAGGTTTAGAGGTGAGAGTTACTGCTCCCAGCCAGGACCATTCTTTAAACAAAAGAAAACAACCTGCCTGAGCAAGAGCAAGACCTCGTCCATCTCTACTAAAAATAGAAAAAGAAAAATTAGCCTGGACCGGTGGCAGGTGCCTATAGTACCAGTCACTCGGGAGGCCGAGGCAAAAGGATTGCTTGAGGCAAGAGTTTGAGGTTGCTGTGAGCTCTGATGCCACAGTGCTCTAACACAGGGTGACAGTAAGACTCTGGTGAAAAAACAAAAAACAAACAACAGAATTGAAGAAACTGGATGATGATGATGTATAGTGGGGATGAGTAAGATGGGGGCTGGGATGGATACAAAGAGATAACTTGTTCTTATGATCTATCTGTTTTAGTCTTTTCCCTACCTATTGCTGTTTCCATTTTTGTTCCATAGGTTTCCATTCTACCCCAGACTTGATGGAAGCGTGGCTGCCCACTCTGCTGCTACTTCGTGACTATGAGATCCCTACGTTGATTACAGTTTACAGGTTTTGACCTCTTTCTATGTATGATATGCCCTTGACATGCTTATCTATCACATAGTGAGGATATTCTTCCTTCTTACATGTGGCTTTTTCATCCCCTTGCAACAAAGTCCTATGCTAGTTAATTGGGTGTTTAGTGAGATATTTGGGAGAGAAGGGTAGCCTTGGATAATTTGGAGGATTGTTGAGTATGGAATTGTCAGGCTCTTGAGCAATTTCGCTCTTACCTCTTTCTCTTTTTTTTTAATTAGGATATAAAAGTATAGGTTTATTTTATATTAGAGAAAGGGATGAGGGGGGAAAGAGACAAGAAACAAGAGAAGAGAGTAGAGAGCAGGGAATAAAAGAGGAGAAGAAGGAGATTGGGGGGGAGAAAATGGTATGGCATCCCGAAGGAAGAAAGAAGAACGCCAGCCTCTTTCTTATTTCTTATAATCAGTGGAACAATTTTTCTTATCTCTCTTCCACAGCCATCAGGAATTGGCAACCTCTTTGCAGATTCTGGTGGAATTGGATACACACATCACTGCCTATGGGGCTAATCCTTTCACATCCCTCAAACCTGAACAAGTCTATTCCAACCCCAACAAGCAGCCAGTATACTGCAGTGCCTACTATATCATGTTTCTTGGAAGCTCCTGCCAGCTGGATAAGAGACAATTGGAAGAGACATTAGATGGTGGGGTTTAAATAGCTTTTGACTGGATGTCTGGAAGATGAGGAGGTTGTGATGAAATTACCCTGTTAATGCCAGGTTTTTGCCAGCTTTGAAACCCACTATATTCTCAGCCTTATTCACTATCTGGATAAAGATTCTCAGCTGAATGAGTGTTCCTGTCTAATGTGACTCATTTCTGAGAGTTTAGCCAGAGTAGCGTCTAGAGATAGGATAGATTTAGTGGTTGGCAAGAGGCCCCAGTGTTGGTCTTTCCAGAGAGTGTAGAGTTCCTGACAGTTTCCTTGGAGGAAGTTATACCTTTTGACTAGAACCATTAGCACTGAGGAGAATTAGAACCTCCTTGTTCATTTGAAAAAGACTTTTCTTCTAATTTAGCAATTTGGGCTGAAAAACAGAGAAGTGTTAATTACTTGAAGTGGTGGAAGATTGGGTAAGTCAGGGAAGTCAGGACCATGGTACACTGACCTATGCCTCACTTTTTTGAAAGCAGTGTTCCATTTTCCTACTTTTTTCTTGGAGACTTAAGACTCTAGAGTAGCTCTGGTATTGTATTTTAGATACCTCAGGGTATATCAGACTTTATCTGATATATTTGAGTTATTTGTTATCCCCTGTTCTATACTACAGTAAACTCAGTTTGAGGCTTCTTAAGTCACTTGTTTTATCTTATTTCCTATTCTTTGCCAATATTCATTAATATTACTCATCTATGCACAGTACCTCAAGATTGGAATTTTGCTCTAGCCCTTGGAATGGTTAACATTGACTCTTATGTTTGGGCCTTTTACTCTACTACATGCTTGTCTTGTATCATCCTTTTTTTATCACACTCTCAAGGATTAGGATATTCTCTAGGTTTTCATTCCTACAATTTTGCCATCATCTTCAACCACACAAACACCATCACCCCAGAGCACCTATATATACTGTTATTGCTCACTGTAATAGGGATAATTTTAGAATTTCATTTATTCATTCAAAACAGTAAATACTTACCATGTGAAAGGTAAAACTATATTGTGGTTTTAAGGAGATTAAAACATTGAACATCATTGAACATCACATTGAATGTGATGTCTTTATTTTTTTTAACCCAGGAAGAGAAAAAATATGTATGCGGATATCTTTTTTGCAGTGCATAATAATAGAATAAGAAACATGAGCGAGGCTTATGGTGCTAAGGAAATAAGAGTGAAAAAATAGAGCCCTTTGCCAAATGAATATGAAGGAAGTATGAATTAGAATTTTATGAAACAAGACCAAGCATTCCAGGTGGTAGTAATAACAGGAGCAGAAGTTGGGAAACAGAAAAGCATAAAGGATATTTTACGGTACATTTGAGGATTAGTATAAATTAAGTCCTGAAGAAAGATTGAGATTGGATTCTAGAAGAAGCATTTGTCATCCTTTGGATTGATACAGATCTGACTATGAATCCTGGAACAATCATCAGATAATTTTGTGCCCTTGAGAAAGCTAAAATTCTCTTAAGTCTTAGTTTCCTCATTTGTAAAATGGAGATACTATCTAATACCCAAAATTATATTAGCATTAAATGAAAATGTTTCATAATTGGAGGTCTCACACATCTTATTTTCAAAATTTACTTCTGGTCAAGTATCCGTACTCTGAAAATTTAAAATCTGAAATCTTCTAAAATCCAAAACGTTTTGAATATTTGACATAACATGCAGATTTTCAGATTTGAGGTGCTAAAGACAACTCAAGTATTTCAAAATTTGAAAAAAAAATTGAAATCTGAAACTGCAGGCAGAATGGGGACCGAAGACCCCATTCTTAGCAAGGGAAAACACTCCCAGAAAAGGGGGAAAATAAAAAGGTAAGCAAAGTGAGGCTGAACAAAGGAAAGTCAACTGGTTTACCTTTACACCAGCTGCTGCTAAATTTCTTATCTGAGTAAGTTTTCTGCTTTTCCTAGAAGCCTGGCCTTTTGGGGATACAGCTTACTAACACCCCTGCTGGGTCTGTAAGCACTCTGAAGGAATGGCCACAGAAGAAACTGTGTGCAAGGCCTAGCAAGAAACATTAACTAGGCTGCTTCCTGCCTAGTTAACAGTCAAAGCAAATACCTATTGTGGAGATTTGTATTTGGCTGGGGCAGAGATCAAGGGAATAGCGTGAGCCCTGAAAATACAGGTTGGAGGGCTTATATCCCTTAGTGCAGAAGACAACCCTCTGTAGTAGTGATGAGAGGAAAATTCCTCTCTCCCACCAGTTCTTCAGAGGAGATTGACTCCAGTGGTGTTTTACTCCACAGTGAACTAGCTAGTATTAAACCGCCAGGAATCTGTGTGTGTGACCACAGACAGGAGGCTGTCCCTACACAAGGCTCAGGCTCCAGATTTCTCAAGACTGCTCAGACCCTTAAAGTTAATGATTATAGAAACAATAGAAGCTTATATGCTTACTCAGAGAAACTGCTGACATCTTTGTTCCCTCTTCAGTTTACTCTCTGGGCTAATGAGCAAATAGCCTTCAATAAAAGCTGAGTGGAACTTACACTTGGGGCCACCCTCAGGAACTCTGTAAACGGGCAGTGGTCCCCTGTGCTCCCACCTTTGAAAATTCTATTCTGTGTGTCTTGTCTCTTTATCTCTGGTCATTTCTAACCTTATATTTCTGCAGTCAGTTGCCGCCAGATCCACAGGTCTTAACAGAACTTGCTCCCAGGGCAGGACTCCGGCGTGAAACACTCCTGGTTGCAACTATTTTGGATAAGAGATATTTAACCTGTATAAAACAACAGTAATCATGACAATGTGATACAGGCATTGGATGGACATATAAATGAATGAAATAGAATTAACAATTGCCTTAGTCTGTTTGGAATGCTATAAAAAAATACTATAGGGCAGCGCCTGTGGCTCAAAGGAGTAGGGCTCCAGCCCCATATGCCAGAGGTGGTAGGTTCAAACCCAGCCCCGGCCAAAAACTGCAAAAAAAAAAAAAAACAAAAACCAAAAAACCATAAACTGGGTGGCTTATAAACAAATGAAATTTCCTTCTTCCAGTTATGGAATCTGGAAATGCTAAGATCAAAATAATAGCAAATTCCGTATCTGGTAAAGGCCCATTTCCTGATTTATATAAAGTGCTTTCTTACTATGCCCTCACATGGTAGAAGGGATGAAAGAGCTCCCCTCTCCCTTTTGAAAGGATACTACTCCTATTGAATGACCTAGTGAACTCCTAAAGCCCCCATCTCCCAATACTGTCACCTTAGGGGTTAGGATTTTACCATATGAATTTTAGGGATACATGAAACATTTAGACCAGAGCAATAATTTAAAAAACCTTTACCCTTATAGTCAATTGATTTGTCTTGATAAGGGTACCAAAACATTTAATTGGGAAAAGAATAGACTTCAACAAATGGTATCAGGACAACTGGAACATTCAAAAAAAGTGTATCCTACCTAACAGAATATGCAAAAATTAAAATAGTTCAAAGACCGAAAGAGCTAAAAGTATTAAACTCTTTGAAGAAAATATAGGGATAAATCTTCATATACTTTTATTCGACAGTGTTTTCTTCGGTAGGATATCAAAATCACAAGCAAAATAGATAAATTTGATTATCAAAATTTAAAATTTTCTACTTCAAAGAACACCATCAAGGAAGTATAGAATGGGAGAAAATACTGACAAACGATATATCTAATAAAGGATATGTATCCAGAATATAAAGAACTCCAACTTGAAAAATAACCCAAGTTTTTAATAAAAATGGGCAAATATTCTGAATAGACCTTTCTCCAAGGAAGATGCACAAATGGCCAATAAATACATGAAAATATGTTCAACATCTTTAGTCATTAGGAAATACAAACGCAAACCATAGTGAGATACGTGCCCCTTTACACCTGCTGTGATGGCTATAATAAAAGGATAGTAACACGTGTTAATGAGGATGTGGAGAAACCAGCACCCTCGTGCTGCTGGCTGGAATGTAAATGGTACAGCCATTTTGGAAAATAGTCTGGCAATTCCTCAAAAAGTTAAACATTTGGGCTCGGCGCCTATAGCTCAACCGGCTAAGGCGCCAGCCACGTACACCTAAGGTGG